CAGCTGAGTGGCTAGGATCCCTGCCTGGACACTCAGGTTTGCAAGCTGAGATCCTAAATACTTCCTCTTCCAGGTGGCTGGAACACCTGTTATCTAGTTTTGGACCCTTTGTCTCAGAAGCAATGGCTGCCCATAATGAGCCCCTCTGTGTCCTTTCACCTTCCTCTGCGCCTGCAGGATCAGGCAGCAGAGCAAGATGCTCAGAGGAGACATTCATCCTTTCCCTTTTACCTTTCAAGATATTTTGGTACAGCAATGCCAACACACCTATAAAGCTGCTATGAATTGTTAACCAGCGTGTTTGTGCATTGCACCTATCATGCTATTTGCACGATGGAATGTGAAGACACAGCTTGAAATATTTTAAGATATGGCCTTTTATCTCTGGAAGCACAAGACAGTATTTGCAGATTGGCCTCTGGAATGAAATTAGCCTGTCACGTTCCCTAGTTCCTGCGAAACGTGGGCATTTCCATAAGTGGTTCTGAGTCCTTTAATCCTTTTGATCATTTGCACTGTGTATTTTTACACAGGTTCTTTTACTTTGGAGAAGTAAAGTAAAGAAACTTAAAGGTGAGTTTAGCAAGGGCATCTCTGCACTGTTTGTCAATGCAAATAGATCTTGAATTTGAATGATAGGAGTTTCTCTTAGACACCCAGGGGCCTCTAAACCTCTCCACAAATAATGTCTGTGGCAGTAATCTCTGGAAGCGTTTGCTGGAGAGTGGAAATCTGTCTTGACTCCTCATTGCTGTAACAAAGAAGAGCCTACTCCTTTAAAATATTCTTGACAGCCTGGGTGTCAGTTACCACCCAGTTGTGATTTCTCATCTGGGCCACTGCCCCTGTGACATTTGCTCTCTCTTGGTGACTCCAGGCTTTTCCATTTCACAGCCTTAGCATGGATCATAGAATGGGTCCAAGCTTTACCTCTGGTTGAAACTTGGTGGTCTTGAGTGGATCCTGCCACTCACTCTCTGTGCAATGTTGTATGAAAAATCTTGTGAGCAGGCTTTTATTTCCTCACCTGTAAAGTAGGATCCTATCCTTCTTGAAAAATTGCTGTACGCAGTATTTGTACTCCCATGTTCATAGCACTGTTATTCAGAGTGGCTAAAATGTGGAGTGTCCACTGGTGGGTGAATGAGCAAACAAAATGTGCCATACACACACGCGCGTGCGCGCGCACACACACACACACACACACACACACACACGCTCTCTCTTCTGCCTTGGAAAGGAAGGAAACTGACATGCACTCCAGTATGGATGAACTGCACTCATATAAGGGCCCTAGAGTAGAGACATTCATGGGAGCATTCGCGCACACACACACGCACACACACACACACACACACACACACACACGCGCGCGCTCTCTCTTCTGCCTTGGAAAGGAAGGAAACTGACATACACTCCAGTATGGATGAACTGCACTCATATAAGGGCCCTAGAGTAGAGACATTCATGGGAGCACGAAGTGGAATGGGGCTGTCAGGGGCCAGGAGGAGAGGAGATGGGGAGTAGTGGTTAATGGGTGTAGACTTTCAGTTGTGCAAAGTAAAGAATTCTGGAAATGGATGATATGATGGCTGCACAAAAATTAATGTATTCAACACCACTGAACTGTACACTTAAAAATTGTTAAGTTTTAGCTGGGCGTGGTGGTGCGTGCCTATAATCCCAGCACTCGGGAGGCTGAGGCAGGAGGACCGCTGCAAGTTCGAGACCAGCCTGGGCTACACAATGAATTCCAGAGCAGTCTGAACTACATAGTGAGACCCTGTCTCAAACAACCAAAAAAACAAAAAATTGTTAAGATTTATGTGGTAAAATTTATATTAAGTGTGAGTTTTATCATAATAGAAAAAATTGGGAAAAATTGCTGAGCACTAAATAGCATCAAGTAGGTGACAGCCCTGCTTCATGTTGGGGTTCAGTCAGTAGCAACTACTCTTCCCATGGTGAGGATACGATAGTTTAGTAGTTATATGATACTTCATCATGTGACTGTCCCATCTTTTCTTTCTTCTCTGTTGGACTTTTGGATTTCTTATAGTATAGTACCTCCCCCAATAATAATGACAGCATGGAGTTTTTGTGCATTTATGTATCTTTTCCACTTTAGGGTCATAATTTTGGGACAGATTTTCTGCATCACTTCATCCAGGTGAATGGGCATCTTACTGGCTCCCAGCCACATGTGCCGTGAGCTCTCAGAGATGACTTAGTAATTTACCCCTTCACAGGCCAATAATAAAAAGTTCATATAATAATGAATTCATAACTCATTGTGAGATGGATATGACAAAAATTGGAGCAAAGCAGAAAGGAAATTTACTAATAAACATGAAATTTATTTTTTTACCTCACTAATAATTAAATTCATCCTAAATGAAACAATAGAATGCCACCTCCCAGCTATAATTTGCTAAAGATTAAAGACTGTGAGTGGGTTTGGACGAGCCTCCCACATGCTGCCAGTAGGGGAAGAAATGCAGTCAGCTTTCCTGAGAAGAAGTCTGGCACCAAGCGTCAGGAAATATAAAAATGTTTATAAACGTTGATTTAGAAATTCTACTTATACAACAATGGCTTGAGGCAGCCTCAGAAGTGTAGAAAAATATTTACATTTGGAGCTAAACATAGTACTCAGGCTAAATGTCCAATGACAGGGAATGATTGAATAAGTAATCGGACAACCATCTGATGGAGTGTTATGTAGTCATTCTAAGTGGGGTTTCCTAAAAATTTCAGTGACATGAGGAAGTACTGTACTCACAATAACTGGAAAGTAAGGAAAGCTTGCTGTATTATAATCGAACAAATTGTGTGTGTGTGGGGTTATGTGTGAGTGTGTGAGCATATGCATCTAATATTCACCCAGAAAGAGATGCATAAATATATTTATAGTCTTATGTGGCAGGAATATGGGTGATTTTTATTTTCTTTTTTATGCTTCCTTCATGTTTTCTAAGCTTTACATTACTCATAAATATCACTTCTACAATCTGAAAGAAATTTATATATAAAAGGGATTAAATATAATGAATAGATTTGTCCCTTTTCTGGACTCATGTTCCTGTTATTCACTGTACTCCCTGCATCAGTTTTCCCTTTGCTGGAACACAATGCCTGACACCTCCAGCTTGAAGGAGGAGCAGTTTAATTGGCTCACAGTTTTAGTCTATGAGTGCCTTGCTCCAAGCAGAAACATCATGGAGGAAAGATGTGGAGGAACCAAAGCTCCTCAGTTAGTGGTGATTAAGCAGAGCTAAGGAATAGCCCCAAGAGGAAGATGCCAGGGACAACACTTAGACTCCAAGCCCATGCCTCCAGGGACCCACCCAGACACACACAGACACCCCCCCAGACCCCAAAGCCAAATGACACTCCATCCTACCTACCACACTCTGTCCCTAATGTATTGAGTAGGGGCCCAGACAAGAAGTCAGAGGGTACTGTTAAGATTATGGCCTAGAAATTCACTAGCTGTGTGACCTTAGGTAAATCTAGCATTTGCATCTCAGCTTTCTGGTTTATAAAAGGGGGATTTGTACTTCTATGTATATATAGAATGAGACAGTTTTGAGGGCAAAAATGAAAAAAACCAACATAGGGGAAAACACTTTTGTAATCTAAGGCGCAAGCTCAGGCTATACCCAAACTATACTCCTCTTTGACCTTCTGCTGGAAGAACCATCAGAACTTACCAGAAGCTGGAACACTCATGGCCATAATTTATTACAGGTCTATAATTTATTACAGCTCACATCTGCTAGAGAGGCAGAGGGAAGTTCCAAGTACTTCTGTCTTCTCCCATGGAGCCAGGACATATGACCTTCCTGGCATTAATTTTGACAGTACCAGGGAGGAATGCCCACCAGAGAACCTTGCCTAAGCCCTGGTGTCCAGAGTTTCTACTGTGGCTCCAATCTCCAGGTAGACTAACAGTGCATCTCCTAAAGCCCCACCCTAGTTCACAGGAACCTTTGGGTATGGTCAGCCCACACATGAAGATTGTTGGGATAACCTGCCCCATCCTAAAATCCAGTATGGCCAGCCCCATTTCTACCAGATATGATTTCCCAGTAGCCAAGGGCAACACCCTGTTTCTGTTGGATACAATCTCTCAGGGGCCTCTCTTTGGGCAAGACCAAATTCTATGCTGCACATAAGGTGACCAAAAAAGAGATAGTAAGCAAATTTAAATATAGAGATGATTCTAGGAAAGAAGAATCTATTATTTGCTAAGTTCCAAGACTATAAAATAGAAAAAGGCTCAAATTCTACAGTTGCAAGTGGTACTACGAACCTCCACTTACCTGAACTTGGAACCTTCGAGATGCCCTCCAAGGATGGGCCTGTTTATGTGGGTTCTGTGGAGACATTTGCTGCAGTTGTTATTTACCACAGAGAGGAGTTAGGCTGAGAAAACACTTACCACCCTGCTGAGTATTTGAATCTAACCCTTGCCTCAGTGTTAATAGCACAGCGAGAATGCCTCTCTACTAACTAATTTATCTAGTGTGAACTAGCCCAGGCTGCCTTTACCGGCTTCTAGGTCAGGACCACCTTGCTCTGTGGTGTAGCTGTGCTTACTCTATAGAGTGTTGAGTGATGCGAAAAATTACCAGGCTTGTTCCCCTCCCTTTGTAGAGCTGCCCTTCTTGAGTGCTTTGTCAGGTTGGGTCTGTAAGATCTCATGAGAGAGGTTAGAAAAATGAAGGTCCAAGTCAGATTCCCATGCACTTAAAAGTCTACCAGTGCACAATGAAGAAGTCATCATCCCAGGAAGCTCACAGAGCGTAACTGTGATCTTCCAGAAAGAACCCGCCACAGAGACTGAGGATAAGAGCCTTAGCTCAAGGCCAATCATGCTTCTGCCTCCTTTACAGGGGACAATTTCAGCTTTTGTCTGTTGATCTTTTGAGATAGAATAGCTTGTAATAAACGGATGTTGTCAGTAAATTTTAGTTGTTCATTCTGTTTCTTTCAAGGAAAAACTGGACATGCAGAAGTCGTCAGGGTTGTGTACCAGCCAGAGCGCATCAGCTTTGAGGAACTGCTCAAGGTCTTCTGGGAGAATCACGACCCGACCCAAGGTAGAGTGATGAGTGAGCCAGTATTTAATTATCTTACTAATTACAGCTGGGATAATTAGTGTTTGAGCTGCATGGAAGAGATGAACCTTGAAATCACACAGGAGCTCAAGAATATGATTGCAGACATTTATTGACGGAGAAGAGGAGGGGCTGGGGAGAAAAAGGGGGGAGAGAATAAAGGCGCAGCCACGTTCGACGCCCCTCCCCCCTCACAGCTGTCAGGGGTGGGAAAATTCCCACAGAGAAAGCCGCCAGACAATGGAGATCCGCTCACCTTTGATTATTGCATTATTCCTCCTTAATGCAGTCTTTTGTCTATAAAATTAAAGTGTCTTTCTAGCAGCTCCAAAGTTTTTCTGATTTATGGTTCCTTTATTTCCCCAAGTTTACCCTTTCTCATCTTTTGACGTTATCAGGGTTTGGGGGTTATTTTTGGTCTGGGTGATTTAAAAAAGAAGAGTACAAAGGTAAAAGACAGTATTCTGTAGGTCTATAGTACTTGGGTTATTTAAATATTTCATTTGTCTTCCTCAGAATTTGTTATGTGGAAATATTAATATATTTGAACTGTACACAAAGGTGGACAGAGATTTTATTTGAATGCACTCACAAGCAATCTCATGTCAGCAAATATCACTGGAATATTCAATAATGAAGCAATTTCCAGATTTCATCCTAACACCTTACAAGTGCTGTTTGCCAGTGAGTTGATCTGATATTATGAGCCTGTGAACTGGGAAGCCCTGTGTAATAGGTGTGATTGTGCACTGACCCTCTTCCTTAACAGCCTACCTAACAGAACTCTTCTCCTTGGCTACCAGGTTTTTATGTGGTGGGCATGCCATGGTTTCTTGCCAAGTAGATATGTTTTTTCCAAACATATCTACTTGTACTTGTGGTGACCCCAGTGGCACAGGTTGGGGGGTCGTTCTGGGTGCTACTTCTGAGAACCACTGGTGCCAGAGCAATTTGCCAGAGGGCAAAGGTCAGGGCAAAGGCAATTACAGCAGAGTGATAGCTTGGGCAGAGTCAAGCTCTGGGATGTAGGCAGATCCACTAGGGTAATGGAATTTGGCTTACTGATGACCAGAGGTCTAGGCCAGGATGAAGGCTGGGGTGGCATTACCATGATGGTGTTTGGTTTGGCATGGCAGTGAATTCCCTGGTGAGTAGGGAGGACCGCAGGGACAAGAGCACTAAAACCAGAAGGTGCAGGTGTCACCCCACTTTGGACCACTGGGCACAGCATATGAGCAAGGCAGGCCTGAGGGCTTGGACAGGAGGCTCTGACTGGTGCTTATCATCTCAGGGCGGTGGTTGCCAGGAGCTCCTGCTGGTGAGTCTTCCATCAGATAAGGCAGACATTCTGCCATTTGGCTGGCAAAGCCCAAGATCAGGGCAGGATACTGAGAGCTCCAAAATTATCGGTAGAGATCTACATCGGGAACCCAGCCAAGTCTGCAGCCACCTAGGTGGCAGGCTCCCTGCAGCCCCAGTCTACATCTGTGACCTAGGCAACCTGGTAGCATCTCCCAAGGCTTTGTTCCAGCAGAATTTTAGACGGGTTGGCATCTGCCATCAAGTTCTTGGTCCTCACCTCTCTTAACCTCTTACCCGTTTGATCATTTCTTCATCGGCACACACCAGTTACTAGGGGGCTGGGCCCTGGACCTAGGGGAGTTCTACTGTAAACAGAATCTTAAAGAAGCTCTTGTGCTTCCTACCTCATATACCACATTTGCCTCGACTGTGCCGCAGTCTTCACCCAGCCACCTTGAAGTTCTTGGAGTACTGCCTGAGTACTTTCCGTAATGAGTGCCTTGGACCCTACGGCTTCAACAGTAGATACTCCCCTCCTCACAGTTCTGGAGGCTGGATGTCAAGGTCAGGGTGGTGCCAGCAGGTTTCATTTCTCCTGAGTCCTCTCTCCTTGGTTTACTGATGGCCGGCTTCTACATCTTCATGTTGTCCTTTCTCTGGATGAGTGTCTCTTGTTCTCTCATAAGGACACCAGTCAGACCATGCCACCCTAATGACCTTATCTTACCTTATTTACCTTCCTAAAAACATCAATCTACAAATCAGTCACATTCTGTGGTGCTAGGTGCTAGGACTCAGCATGCAAATTTGGGGGACGCAGCTGAGCCCTTTACGCTATCCAAGAATTCAACAACTTTATCTACTTTTCTTCTAGCAGTAGTAGTGTGAGAGTCACTCATAGCCTCATCAGCCAGAAGGGATTTTAGAGGTCATCTAGAGCACAGCACAGAGTAGAGCCTTTTCACTTCAGTGCTTCCTACATTGTCATCAGTTATTTTTTGTGTAGCTCAATGTAACGAGCCAGGGTAACAATCTTTTTGTCTTACAAGTTTCCCTATGACCCTTCTAGAATCAGGTTGCATTTTACTGGGCCAAAGGGTGTATCCATGGTGTAAGCCTTGCCAATCACAATATCTTGTCCTACTTTCCCCAGTATTTGATTGAAGGAGTGGGCATGTGACCCATGTTTGACCAATCAGAATCCTTCCTGGGGCTGTTGTATGAGAAGAAAAGAAGCTCTACCTTTGCTGAGAGATGCCAAAGTGGAGGTGGTTTGTGTTGGGGAAGATCCTGTCTACAGAGAAGCAAGACAAATGAGCAGAGGCCGAGAGAATAGAGGCAGGAGGAGGGATATTCCTAGAGGCTCCCAGAGCACTGGGACCTCTCCTTCCTGCAGCCCCACCTTCAACTCCGTGAGCTCTTCTTATGGTTCTCTGGGCTGTGTGCTACCATGAACTCTCCACTGTTTCCCTTTAGATAGGCTGTTCACTTTTTGTTACTTCAACAACAAGAATCTGAACTCATCCAACTTAATCACTGTGCTCAGTATATTAATGACTGTTAACAGGATTAATTTGGATGTGTAAATCAGAGGTGTAAACCATTTGGATAATAGTCTTACATTGATTCACATGTGGAGAGGGAGACATTAAAAAGTATTTCTCTAAGACCCATTGGTGGTTGATTAGAATTTCCTTCATAATTCAAAATTAAGAACCAGGGTTTAGGATTTGGGGTATATTGCTTGAAAACCTCTTATATATGAAACCCACTCTTGATATCTCTAAACTGCCATGAAAGACAATCTTAGAGGTGGACATGGCGGAGATGGGAAGGGAATCAGGATGGAGGGAAATGGGAAGGCAAGGAGGGAAAGGGGAAGTAAAATGATTGAGATGTGATATGTTTATGTACCAATTCTCCAAGATGAATGAAATTATTATGTATGGTAAACATATACTAAAAGAAAAGGAAGATAAAAATATCCCAGAGAAAAAAATGTCAGTCATCATTAAGGACATTTATCTTGTTATACTGATCAACACACCAATGTCTTTTTCTCTAGTGTTCACGCTCCACTTTTTTGGCGGGGGCAGATACTGGGGATCAAACTTGGGTCTTTGTGCTTGCTAGGCAAGCAGTGGCACCACTGAGCTAAATCCCCAGCAAGGACATTTATCTTGTGCCTCTTCTGTCTGCAAGGCAGAGGTGTGCTAAATCACCACGTGGTCTGGAATATGCCAGGGTAGATTGAGTAGTGCACAGGGAAATATGTATTCCTACACACACACACACACACACACTTCAGTGTAGTGAGATCATATAAATGTGCAAACAAATGCAGTTAAGGGTAAAGATGAAGACATTAACAGGAAATCATTAGAAGAAATGTGTTAGCACTGGAATGTTAAAGCAAAACCATAAGTTCAAAAGAACTCTGGAATGAATGGATTTAATATTCTTAGGAACCCTGAAAGTCCAAACTGTGTAGTCACATGTCACTTTTCCAAGGTCAAAATTTGAGGCCCACCCCCTGAAGGATGGGCAAGGATGAGCCAGGCTGTGAATGAACCTGGACAACTCTTGTCACATAAACCAGTGAAAAGTGGTCTCGCAGCCACCAATAGAGCCACCAATAGAGCAGATAAAGTAGTAAAAATATGTACAACTGACTGTACTTATTCAAAAAAGGGCATTTCAAAGAGAGCAAGATATTGGATATGGGTGACTCTGATTTATGAAGCAATAGCCCCCTCAAGTTTCTTCCAAAAATATGAGGGCAAGAATTCCTAAACCCGCTCTTGCCTATGCTGGAAATGCTTATCGGCAGAAAGACAAAATTTGAATACAAATTAAGAAGGCCTTGACCTTTGATATGAAGATGTTCCCAGGAAACTTGTGATTCCCCGCAGAGATATGACTCAAGAGAACATATTTTAATTAGCATGTTGGAAGACGTTTGTACCTTATTTATGAAATCATTAAGGATTTGAAGGGGCCACTTACATTTTTCAATTGTAATTTATTGCATTTTGTGGGAGAAGTAATATCCTAGAATGATATTTGCAAATGTAGGAATTCTTGCTAATGTCAAGGATATGACTCTAGTAGAAACAGGAGGGACTTAAGCTTGACGTCACCTTTCAATTAGATCAGATCTTTATGGTGTAGACTAAACAGACAATCGTGTATGGTCTCACTGCTACTAGGTACTGAAGTGGCTCTCATGGTATCTGTCTTTTGGGGCAGGACAAAGTACCAGATATAACTCCTTAGTAAGAGAGAAATGGGAAATGTAGACACCTTAAGGTGCTCTGGGGCCAGAGACCCATCACCCCATAGCCACTGTGTATTTCTATGGCATTTACATGGTATAGGTATGATGTCATCTAGAGATAATCTAGACTCTATGCGCAGATGTGCACACGTTCTGTGCAAATCCTATGCATTCTACATAAGTTACATGAGCATTCATGCATTTTGCTATCCATGTGGGACCCGGAATCAATCCCACTGAATACCAAGGGAGGACTAAGTGCGTATTCAATACTCTATATAGCCTGAATTCTCTCCTGGCCCACACTGTGGGATAGGAGTGCAGAAACTGAGGTTCACTTACTCCTCAAAGAGAAAATACTTACTGGGAAGTGCATCTCTAGAGGAGGTGACAGAATGGACAA